CTGGCGCTCCCCAAAAAGGGGGGGGGGGCCGCGCTGGCTTGCCGTAAAGAGGGGGAGGGGCCTGCGCTGGCTTGCCGTAAAGAGGGGGAGGGGCCTGCGCTGGCTTGCCGTAAAGGGGTTGCACTGACCACTATATACAAGCGGGCTGACTTGCCTAATCCTGACTGTTGCACTGCTTTTACTAGAATTTAGACCAAGTATGCCTGTCTCTTTTAAATCACTCGACTAATATGACCATTATTCCATAGTTCGCTGCTATTAAACTCACTTATTTCCTAGCACATCGCTATTATCCCCATGCTTCACTGCACCGCTATTAAACTCCGGTGCTTTATTAGCACTTTGTTATTATAAACACGCAGTGCATCAACTTTTTTTTAAATTTAAAAACATCTATCCCAGTGTTAAGGTAGTCCAGGTATGCCATTGAGTATTACACTTCTGAATACATTTAATAAATGCCTAATTCTTGGAAGTTCAGCTTTAAAAAGCCGTAGATGTCAGAAAACAATAGTACGCAGAGGCCTCGCTAAATAAAGATGCGAGATCACTTTTCGGCGGGGAATCTTGATGAAGGTTAGCCAAGTGCAGTATCGGAATGGCTTGTTTTCCTGATCCAGCAGTAGAATGGCGCCATTGTGCAGATGTCGGGGCAGGCAGAGTATACCGTCAGTGTGTACGCTGCTAGGAGCTAAAGTACAAATCCGATACACAAAGCCCTTCTGTGTAGAAACTCCGCACTGCCTAACCTTGGCGTCCTTCACTTCTTTCCACGTTGCCTTTCTCCTAATCTTTTGTGTCACTTTTGTATCTCCTTGTAAACTGTCTGTCTCCGGTTGTCATGTGTCCAAGATTTAAGTTCAGTAAAAAAAGAGAAGAATTTCCAGTACGTCCTTGTGTACTAAGCACGGTATCTCCATGTGCTGATTACTTTAACTCCTTCCTGCCAGCAATCTGTATTAAAGTATACAATGACCCATGCTGGGGATATGTCATTAAGGGTCCTCTGCTTGAGAGCCACCAGCCAATAAGTGTCAGCTGGTGGCTCTCAGAGGACGTTTATTACCTCCAGTCTCATCCTGACTGTCACTAAAAATGGGGAACCAATCAGAGTGGTTTCTGATCATGTGATCGCTGTTGGCTATAATATAGTGATCACATTGACAAAATAAGCCTCCGGGCTGCAATGGCATCTGTACTGTCATCTTTTTAATACTGTAATGGCATTGTTACTGTCACTTTCTTTTTAATACTGCAATTTAAATTATTATATATATTACTTTGTCAAGTTAACCGTTGCAAATGCTGGTGCTGCTCAATTTTGATCTACTAATCATTTCCTGTCACAATGGGGTTAAAGGATAACTATACATTTTTAAAGAACGTAATCTTAATTGATCCACCTCATCATGTGAACTGTACTCCTCTGTACTTGCCTTACACAAGTGCCTGGCCCAATCCAAGAGCCAAGCCTGGTCGTCTTCTTGACCAGCCAGGATGTATGGTTCTGCACATGGACAGCTTTGCTCTATATGACCCAATAGAAAACAGTTTCCTGAATCAGGATTGCTATTCCATTACGGCCTGTGGAGAAATGTACATTTTTGGATGCAAGCCATGTTTGGAGTTAACATAAGTTGTCCGTGTGGAAGGGGACACGTGCATAACATGACCTCCCTTGTGTGCCTCTGTCCACTGGGTTGAGGGGCAGTAGTGAATGGGACTGGTTTTGGTTATCTGTCCATTTGATACCTCGTTCAGCTCCAAGGACTGATTTCTACTGTTAAACTTTTTTTAATGTCAGCTTCTTGTATGTAAGGAACAGGTAGACTCCATAGTTCGTGAATGGACTGACTTATAAATCCCTTTTATATTTGTTGCCTTGTTGATGCAGTTTTCTATTTCTTGCAGGCTTTGGAATATGAAGGTTGGACGGACATGTTCTTTGTATTTGAGTTTACACTTTCCTGTATAATGGGGTAAGTTCTTTTTTTTTTTTTTAAATTTTTTTTAATTTGACATTTATTTCTGATTGCGCTCAGACTTTCAGGCACCCTCACTGTCCTGCTATGCAGACACAACAGGGGCAGATTTGAAGAGGGCTCGAGATTTGCTAGAAAACTGCTCAAGTTTTATATTCTGCTTTGGTGTGTTGTCCCTTTCATGGATAGTAGCCTATCCTTCATCGCCATCTGCAGGCAGCAAGTGCTACTACACCTACAGTGCCAGTACATGGATAGCAGCCTATCCTTCATCGCCATCTGCAGGCAGCAAGTGCTACTACACTTACAGTGCCAGTACATGGATAGTAGCCTATCCTTCTTTGCCATATGCAGGCAGCAAGTGCTACTACACCTACAGTGCCAGTACATGGATAGTAGCCTATCCTTCATCGCCATCTGCAGGCAGCAAGTGCTACTACACTTACAGTGCCAGTACATGGATAGTAGCCTATCCTTCTTTGCCATATGCAGGCAGCAAGTGCTACTACACCTACAGTGCCCGTACATGGATAGTAGCCTATCCTTTATCGCCATCTGCAGGCAGCAAGTGCTACTACACCTACAGTGACAGTACATGGATAGTAGCCTATCCTTCTTTGCCATATGCAGGCCGCAAGTGCTACTACTCCTATAATTGCAATATTTTCTGTCTCTCTGATCCCTGCTGACATGTCCCTTTTTTGGCTCATCAATTTTTTATTTTTTTAACATTCTTTTTTTGCTGTATTTTTCAGGTTTATTTTAATGTACTCCACAGTTCTTTGCACCCATTATAATTCTGCTCTGACGACCACAATCGTAGGTTGCATAAAGGTAAGTTGCGTGTTCAACAGTTAGAGATTGCTACGGACAGCAAGTGGTTAAAGTTCAACAGTAACATGATGATCTGAACTTGTGGCTAGAAAATGGCTTCCCCCTCCCCCC